GGAGCGGGGAAGGCTGAGCCCGGCGACAGGGGCTTTGGGCACACGTGGGCGCGCGCGTACGCGCGTACCTTTCTGTTTTGTATTTGGCGAACGAAGTGCGGTATAGCTACGCTCGCAAGAGCCTCTGTTCGTTATTCGCACCCAAGTCACTTTGAACGGAACGCTGTCCTCGCCCGCGGCCCCGCCAGCTTCTCCGAGGGTCAGGAGCGCCGCGCGCGGCCCCTGCGGCTGCTGCTGCAGTCGGGTAGGACGGCTCAGGGGACCGAGCAGCGCACCCGAGAGAGCCCAAACATGTGTTTTAATATATTATTTTTTCTCCTCCGCAGCCTGGTTTCCCCATTTTGGTCACTGCGGATACCAATAAAGGCAGTTAGATTTTTAAATTTTACTTCTTTTTGGTCTTTTCTGCTTTCTTTTCCAAAATGATGGATGTGACAATGGATGGTGGCGCAGCATTGCATTTACTTTTCCATTGTCTGAATTAGTGAAGGCTGAGTTTTGAAAGCCTCATTCTGGAACGTGGTCTGATGTGAAATTAATTAGACGGAAGGGCGATGTTGACAGGTGGTGGTCAGCGAGGGGTATGCGAAGATGAAATATTAAAAAAAAAAAAAAAAAAAACAAGAACCAATAAGTGGAGAATTTAAAAAAAAAAAGTCAACTCTGCATTCTTAGCACAAATGGGGGAAAAAAAAGACAAACGACTTGAATTGAAATTTTAGCAAATGCCTCAATTACTAATTTTGGAGAAATCTTACAGGAATAGAAAAAAAAAGAAACTCACATGAAAATTTTTTTCTTACCATTTTGCTTAAAGTGCACGTGCCTGGATGCCAGTGAGACACCCATGACTAAAATGTCATCTCATCTAGGAAGCCTCATCTTCCTCTAGTCATATTTAATCACTCTACGTGTGGCACTCCCTTTTATTGCACTGATTTCTGTCTGGAATGTCAACTTAATGTTTTCTTTTTGATAATCCCACCATTCTGCTTCATTTTGAATAGGTTACATCTTCTCACATTTTAAGTTTATTAGAGCCACTAATACTAGCTTGAATCAGATGTCCCTTGAGATCCCATACCCTGACAGTGTGCTACAACTGTGCGTTGTGGTCCTGAACTGATTATTGTTTTATTTTAAGACAGGGCGTTGCCTTGAACTCTCAAGCCTCCTGTTTCAGCCTCTTGCATAGTCAAATTGACTTTGAAGCCCTAGTGTCCTTTTCCTCACCAGTTAGTTGTGTATCTGCTGTATACTGGTATATTGACATACTGTTTTTGTGGTATGGTTTTGTTGTTTGTGAAGGGATTATGCAAAAAGATGGGAAGAAAAACAGCACAGAGAATCACATTTAACTTACTTGGAATTTAAACAAGTCAACACAGTGAAAATTCATCTAAAAACACCTATTTAATAAAGTAGCTTGATTTAATCTGGAACTTCAATAGCACAAGCACACAGAGAGAGTTATATGTACCTGTGACATCAGAAAAGGGTTAAAGGAGCAGCTGAAACTTGAAGGATGAAAGGAAAATCCAAATCCAGTTTTGAAAGGAAATCCAAATATGGGCTTGGGGAGAAAAGCATTCTTACATAATTTATGAAATAATTTTAACAAGTTTGAGATGACAAAATAAAATGAAGAGGTCCATTTTGAGATGCCAGTCACAGCGGGATTTAAATAAATATGACTTTTTATTTGGGAAGTATCATGATGATCAAACATAATAAAGTTTTGATTACATAAACATTATATCTGGGGCTGGGGACATGGCTCAGTAGGATAAGCGCTTGACTGGCAAACTCAAGGATCTGAGTTCAATCCCCAGTTCCGAGAAAAAAAAAAAAACAAAAAAAAACATATCTTTCAATTTCATGTTTCTGTGTGTATGTCAGGCCTATTTGTGTCTGTCATAAAGAATCTCTTTTACTGGTCTTTGAAATTTGTTGAGAAATTCTGTATTAAGAAAGAATAAAGAAGAATATTAAAAAATTTCAGAGCATTCTGTTGAGTTTTACTGCCCCCTTCTGCTGCTTGGATTTTTATCAATTTCTTTTTCTTTTAAGATGCTGGGAAGACTGTGAGACAGATTTCTTGTCTAGCATCATAATATTCTAAAAAAATCGCATGTGCAGTGTTCATTTTAGAGTTAATTTTCATGGACATATTGAAAAGGAACATTTTCTTTCTTTTTTAACTTTGAATTTTATGTATTTGATATAGGGTATCATGATGCAACTCAGACTTTTAGTGATTCTCCTGTTTCAGCCTTCTCAGTGCTAGGATTACAGTGCATCACCACACCAGGTCTTGGTGGTCAGCTGGGTGTACCCAGGTCGGGGCTGGCGTGACGTGTGGTACCAGTGTTGTAGGCAGTTGAATTAGAAATATTATAGGCAGTTAGACAGGGCCAGGCCCTCAAGGAGGCAATATGGAAGACAAGGTGACTTTGCAACTTGGAAGAGATAGATACTTCTCTATGAGCCAGACTTCAAGACAAAAAGAGGAAACAAATACAGCTACATACTTCCCTAGGGATGGGCATCAGGGATTGATATTCTAAATAGGTATCAATCACCTTGAAAGAGCCCAAATATGTCACTAACCTGACCCACAACAGGAAGAGACCCTGTTCTGTATTTGTGCTGGTTTGCGTTTGCTACGTGACTCGCTTCCCCATTTGGTCCTAGAATTATTGCTTGTAATCTCATTGGCTGACCCATAGTTTTGTCCCACCTCATGCCTACCTAAGTGAGTTCCCATGGTCTCCACCACCTTGGACCTGTCTCACAACATAGTTTTACTCTATAAAAGTCCTGGGGACAACTGGTGCGGCGGGGAGAGGCCCCAGGAGGGCCTTCTCCTGTTCCTCTCTTGAACAGGAGCTTTCTTTCCCCATTTATGTGTGAATTTTGAATTTTAAAGCAGGGATGTGAAACATAAATATATTCTGCTCATAACATCCATTCATTCATAAAATGCATTCTTCAGTTTTAGAGAACATGAACTTGTCTCAGGCACCTTTCATGTCAGGAGTTTCATTTTTCCTCTATGTCATTTAGAGGTCATCCATCCAAGATCATTTTTACCCTATGTCACAAAAGTCAAACCTGGGTCCTTGTGCTTGCTTAGGCAGGTGCTTACACCACTGAGCTATCTTGGAGGCCCCAAGAAAAGTTTTCTTATGAAGTAATACAGTTGATAGTAAGTCAAGAAAAATTTTGGACAGATTGAATTTTATTTATTTATTTATTTATTTTATTTTATTTTATTTTATTTTTTTTTTGTGGAACCGGGGATTGAACTCAGGCCCTTGCACTTGCCAGGGAAGTGCTTATTCCACTGAGCCATCTCCCCGGCCCCCAGATTGAATTTTAGAACAACAAAAATTATGAAGAATAAAAGGGGGCATCACAGAGGATGAAGAATTAATTCACCAAGAAGATATAGCAATTCTTATGTATTCTGCCAAACAATAGAAAACATCAATATAACTGAAGCAAGAAACCTCAGGGTCATGGTTACAGGTAAAACTTCGAAGAGAAATAGACCACAGATAGTTCAGTACACCTCTGTCAGAAATGGACAGATTTGCAGGCATGGTGATGCAGGCCTCTAATCTCAGTAGTCTGGGAGGATGTAGAGATAAAATCACAGGTTCAAGCCCAACCTTGGCATCTTAGTGAGAATGTGTTTCTGGGGGAAAAGGTGAAGGTAGGCTGGGATGCAGCTCAGCAAAGGCTCTGGGTTCATCCCCCAGTACCGAAAAGACAACAGCAAGGACATAAACTTTAGGCAGAATATCACTAAGGACATAGCTGAGCTCTGTAGTGCTCTAAATCATTTGGACATAATTCACCTCTGTGTACCCTTCATTGGACAACAGCAGAACACACATTCTTCTCCATCCAATTAAATCATATTGAAGGACATAAAATTCACTTGAATACAGTAAAAAAGGAAAGAAATATAATATATATTTCCAGGCCACAGAGAATTAAAGTAAAACTGAATAACAGAAAAAGAGCTGGAAAATCCCCAAATATTTGGAGATCACATAGCATGCTTTTGAATAAAGCATGAGTCAAAGAGGAATCTCACAGGAAATTAAAAAATATTTTCAGGGGTTTGCACTTGGTCCACCGCCGGCGCCCTTTCTGATACCTGCATCCCTCCGGCAGCCCCAGCAGAAAAAGGGGGTTAGTAAGCAAGTCTCCATAGGCCTGCTACAAAATGGAATGAGTGCAAATTCACCCATGCTAAAAGCACCCAGGACACGACTGCCTACAGAAGCCGCCGATGAGAATGTGACCTCTGTCGGAGGGGTGAAGAAACCTCAGGGTCATGGTTACAGGCCTGGGGCTGAGGCACTCCGTGAAATTAAGATGCTATCAAAAGTCAGCTGATCTTTTGAGCCAGGAGCTCCTTTTCCAACATCTGGTATAGAAATTGCGCAATACTTTAAAACAGGTCTGCACTTTCAGAGCCCAGGATCAGTAGGTCCTTGGCTGGAGGCAAGAAAGGCCTCTCTGGTGACTGTTTGAAGATCCCAGCTGCTGTGTTATCCTTATCAAGCTTGCAGCAATTATGCCGCACCCAGCGTGAACCTGCTGAAGAATTTCCATTAGGAAGAAAAACATCTCATTTGAAAAAAAAAAAAAAATTCTCTGCTTCCTGTTATTGATACATCTGAACATTAGATATATTTTTCCCACAAGAGGTCAAATATACCTAAGTACATAATTGACAGTGGCAGGTAAGGAACAGAAATCAGGCATTAGCAGTTTTTCCATTTTCATTTTTGTGTGAATTTTGAATTTTAAAGCAGGACAAATCAAAATGTTTCAGTGAAGGGGCCAGGGAGATGGCTCAGTAGAATAAGTGCTTGCCTGGCAAGCACAAGGGCCTGAGTTCAATCTCCAGTTCCAGAAAAAAAAAAAAAAGTTTCAGTGAACAAGTTTTAGCAGCATAGCTTATAACACTTACGAAAAAAATCTGTTAATTTTTCTGGAGAGTGCCTGCATTTATTTATTTATTTTTTTAATTTTTTTTAACATTCATTTATTGTGGGGGGGCAGCTCAGCCCACCTGGGGGCGGGGCTGGCTGGCATGTGGTGCTGGGGGATTGAACTGCGGTCCCTGTGCTTTGCCAAGCTTGTTCTAAGTAGGTGCTTTAGACCACTGAGCCATCTCTCCAGCCCCCTGCATTTAGATTTTTAACAAATACATCAATTTTATATCAGTGGCAACTCCATGGTGCTTGCAGAATTTTTAGCGTATGTAGATTCCACCCCTTCACTATGCATTACTGAGATGTTCTATATGCTAGCCCATGTTTCTACCATAATCAGTCATTTGTATTCTATTCCTCTGTAAATTTGCTATTTAAATATGTTAAATTGTTTTTTGTTTTTTTTTAAATATTTATTTATTTATTTATTGCATGTGTGGGTGTGTGTGGGTGTGTGTGTGTGGCCAGCTCAGCCCACCAGGGGGACGGGGCTGGCTGGCATGTGGTGCTGGGGGATTGAACCGCGGTTCCTGTGTTTTTGCTTAGCTTAGCTTGTACTAAGTAGGTGCTTTAGACCACTGAGCCATCTCACCAGCCCCTAAATATGTTAAATTGTAAAGAATATTTTTTAATTTTTTTAGTTTTGGGTAAGGGTCTATAGGGTGTTCAGGGTCTCACTGTTGTAGGCAGCCGAGTTAGAAAGAAATATTATAGGCAGTTAGACAGGGTGAGGCCCACAAGGAGACAAGATGGAAGACAAGGCAACTTTACAACTGGGAAGAGACAGACACTCCCATATGGGCCACACCTCAAGACCAAGACAAAGAGAGGGAACACAGCTACTTCCCTAGGGATGAGCATTAGGGATTGATATCCTAAATAGGTATCAGTCAACTTAAAAGAACCCAAATGAGTCACTAGCCCAACCCCCAACAGGAAGAGACCCTGTCCTGTATTCATGCCCGCTTGCTACATGACTCCCTTTCCCATTTGGTACTGGACTTCATCAATTTTACCTGAGCAATGGTGCTTGTGGTCCCATTGGGTGACCATAGTTTTGTCCCACCCCACATCCACCTAAGCGAGTTCCCATGTTCTCCACCACCTTAGACCCACCTCACCACATGGTTTTACTCTATAATAAAGTCCCTGGAAGAAACAGCTTCCCGGGGAAAACCCACTCGGGCCCCCTCCTGTCCTACTCTCAGGAGCTTTCTTTCTCTCAATAAATATATTATGCTCATAACCTCTGTTTGTTCCTAAAAGTAATTCTTCAGTTTTAGAGAACACAAACTTATCCAGGTCAGGTCCAGAGATCATTTTTCCGTATGTCATTTGGAGGTTCCCTATATCATTTGGAGGTCACCCACCTGAGATCAGTTTTTCTCCCTGTATCATCACTACTAGATTGGACTTCTAGTGATCAGCCTGTTTACAGCCTCCCAATTGCTGGGATTACAGGCATGCTGCCCAGTCTCAATTACCATCCCAGCGGGTACCCCAGGGATGGGGCCAGCACAGCAGGTCCAGGGATGGAACCCAAGCCCCAGTGCCTGCACTTTAATCTGCTAAACTATTTGGCTGGCCCTTGTGGGGTTTTATTGATTTTTGTGGAACAGGAGATTGAACTCAGGCCCTTGCACTTGCCAGGGAAGTGCTTATTCCACTCAGCCATCTGCCCAGCCCTGCTCCAGCCTGGCTGGCCCTTATAAAGAATATTTTGAACAAAATGAAATATGCAACTTAAATTTGCAGAATGAAATGAAAGCGATGCTTAGAAATTTATACTATTGGGCTAGTGAAATAGCTCGGTGGTGTAAGGGCCAGCCTGGAAAGTTCAAGGACGAGAATATGGACCATATGCCGAGCGTCCGTGTGGATCACTGAAACCCGGTGTGGTGATGCACGCCTATAATCTTAGCCCTGGGGAGCCTGAGACAGGAGGATCACTATGAGTCCAAACTGCATAGTGAGACCCTGTATCAAATAAATAAAAGATTTAAAAAATTTTAAAAAGAAATTTATGCTATTAAGTGCATTTATTAGTAAAGAAAATTGATCTAAAATTCCTTATGTAATTCAAAGAAGCAGCAATTAAATCCAAAATAAAGAGAAAGAATAATAAAATTTAGGACAAATATTATTGAAATTGAAAACAGAATGAATCCATAATTAATAAAACTGTTGTAACCCCAAAGTGAGGCAGGCTCAAAAAGAAAAGAGCACTTTATTTTAGCTGGTACCCAGTGGCGGACACCCTACAGAATGTGCTAAGGTGCGAGGCGGGAGGATGAGGGGCATGGGTATTTAAGCCAATAAACCACAAAGAGGTGACATCAAGGGTTCATCTAGGGGCTACAGTTGAAAAATTACCTGTTTCTAATGAACAATAACAGGTGCAGTGGTGGGTACAGTTTGTAGCTGGGAAAGAGGGCAAGAACAGGACGTTGGGTCAGAACTAGATTCTGGTGTGTACAAAGGACAGCATGAGAAAGGCCCAACTGCAGGTTCTCAAGTAGAGAACGGGGCACAGTGGAAAGTTACAGCATTTAGAATGGCGTATGCAGGACAAGATGGTGTGCATATGTCGGGTTATGACAGTTACAGTGGAAGCACACAGAGTTATAAAACTTGAATCAGTTGCACAGGTTATAACATTCCCCACTGGTTTTTGTGTCCAAGTCAAATCATTGACTCATCAGGGCTATAACTTAGCTTGTATATATTCAGTTAAACAGTTTATTAAACAAGGCCCAATGAGTAGGACTAGAAGGAATATAATCATAGGTCTAATTAGTGTAGTTTTTACATTATTTTTAGTAGCTTGATTTTTTTTTTTTTTTTTTTTTTTTAGCTTGATTGTTTAATATGGCTCCTCAATATGTTTTCTCTGCTCCGCATTGAGCAGGGCAATGGCTGTTGAAGTGGCATTAAGAGCCTTTGTCACATTGTAACCTAGTTGTCTCACATGCATATCTGTCACTTTTCCAAAGAAGATGTTTTAACAATATTAAATATCATAGCATATGTTTAAATCTCTCAAGTTTTATATACTCATGGCCCTTTGAGGTGATGTTATATCAAATTATTTTGACATGGGTCACCAGTGCTAATCTACTCTAACAGGAAGGAATATTCATTAACAACAGAGTCTGAGTAGGTGAGTTTTTATAACTCTAGATGGGAGAACAGACAGTGTTTCCCATGTCCCCACTGGTTTTTGTGTCACCTCTGGGGTGTAATATTAGCCAGAGAGTTTTCATCTTTTGTCTTGAGGTCTAGCCCACAGTGGGGAGCATCTATCTCTCTCAAACTGTGGTCACCTTGTCTTTTAATTCTGTCTCCTTGAGGGCCCAGCCCTATCTGACTGCTTATAATATTTTATCTAACTTGGCTGTCTGTAATATTCCCCCTCTGAAGAAGTAACCTGAACTGCCATGAAGGGATTGAGGGCGATGACCGCTCTGGTGTAGTTGTTGACTGGCAGTCAGAGATGCTCTTCTGAGGTTTTACCCAAAAGCCCTTAATAGACATCAAGCATTTTTATCTTTGTTGGTGGTCTCATCAATTTTATTATTAGTTGTGGCACATGAATTGCCAGAAATGGGAAAATACCAAGTACTCTCCAGTTTGCAAGTGGGCCACTGGCTGGGTAACTACTGAGAAATCTGCACAAGCATCTATTTTATAGACAAAATCTGGTGGATCCCAGTTAAAGGAGTCTTAATACCTAGGTTTTAGTATCTTCTAGGAAAGAACTAATTTTCTGAGAAATTAGAGCACATATAATCAAAGCATGAACATTTGAGCTAACAGGTACATTTATAAATTTTTTTGAGAACTAACAATTGTAACTCACTAGCTCTTAGGTCCCTTTATTCATGGAGTTTGACAGTGTACTATAAGTCTCTCTAGCTTTAGTTAAGAGAGGTCACACATGTATTTACTCTCAACATGAAATACCTGCATTACATCAGAAATCAACCAGACTAACATACTCTTAACATGAAATACACAGTATTCAGTCAGATTAAACCAATGTCCCATTCAGTTTTGGATATGGCCCCTACTGTAATCAAGGGGCACTTGATTTATCCTTTTAACACTGTGGCTCTGAGGTTTATGTTTTAAAGACAGGGACTGGCTCTATCTATAGGCCCAAAGCTATTGGACACCGTGTAGCCAGTGTCTCTAGAATTTTTATACTGACAAGATGTTATCTGTCCTTGGGAACCTGTTTTAACTAGTGAAATACCTTTGAAGTCTTCCACATGAATAACAATATATTACATTTGTAAAAACTAGTCTTAGGGGCTGGTGAGATGGCTCAGTGGT